GACCTCTGGTATTAGGCAGTCGATTGTACGGTTCTTTTGACTTTTTAGGGTAGTAGTGAGCTTCTCTTGGCGACCGAGTTTAGTTGAGCAGTATCGATAGGTCCAGTGAGTTACCTATATATTTCAAGTAGACGATTAGGGAGGAAAAACTGCCTGATGCAACTGCAGAGTAGGAAAACAAGACAATTTGGTATATACATGTAGAGAGCCTATGATGACTGAGTGGGACGCAGATGTGTTCGTACGTGCTAGACCAGTGCAAATGAGGGCTTGATCAAGCAGTCTTACAAACGTATGTAATTCATCTGTCATGCGTATTTCGGAAGGAGGGCTGTTCCATATTATTGCACACTTGATGAGGAAGAAGCTTTTGCGGGATTTTTATCTGCATTTCTCAACTTTGACCGTAGATACTTTGTTTCGAAGTTCGTATTCATGTGAATCTCGGGCGAGAACTATATTACATGTTGAATAAGCAAGGCTTTTGAGTAGATTGAATTAGAGAATCAAATTGGACCTAAGCCTTCTCTTCCAAAGGGGTGCTATTCCTAAGATTTGGCATCGGGAACTGTAGTCAAAGACTGATTCAGTCTTAAGTATTTTGCGGGTGAAGTCTCGTTGTATTCCTTCTACCTTTGGTATATCAGATAGGCATATGTTGAAAAAGAAGAACGAGCAGTATTCAACGATAGGTATTACACAAACTTTATAAAGAAACATTTTGGATTCATTTTGATAGAAATTACGGTGAATGAAGTCAATCAATTTTCGCATTTTAGATGCTTTGGCTGAGATGTGTTCAGAGAAGTTAAGACTGTGTGAGCAATGTACCCCTAGGTCAGTTACTGATGTTAGTCTGGGCAGGGTGTTGTTGTTAAGTGTTAGTTTTATTTTGAGAGACGTGTCTCCTATACATAACCAGCCGCATTTCTCTGTGTTGAGCTCTAAACTTCAGCGCTCGCACCAGTCGTCCACCATGTTGAGTTCATGATAGATTATTTGCATAGTACTACGTACATCGCAAGTTTCGGTTTTATAGATGACTTTAGGTCATCGGCATAAAGGTAGTTGCTAAGATAATTTTTGCTGATGCACTTAATGTTAATATCTGGGGTATGTGTTCCCATTGTGGGAAAACCATCAACTTAACAGTTCACACACGACGGTCTGGTCATAATATGTCACAACATCGTGCAGTAAAGAGTGAATGTTGTGATCTGCGTTCTTTTTATGCGTTTTGCAAGGAGACGACATAAGTTTTGAGCTATAGATGCAGCAGTGAGCGCAGTACGTTCTTCTACCTGTTTATGTTTGTTGTGTTGACTTTGCATTCTTTCAAGTACATAGTATACCTGGCGCTCGCACCAGTCGTCTACCATGTTGAGTTCATGATAGATTATTTGCATAGTACTACGTACATCGCAAGTTTCGGTTTTATAGATGACTTTTAAGTCATCAGCCTAGAGGTGGGTCTTACCTGTGCTAAAGCACTTGCATATACTTTTGATGTAGATTATAAAGAGCAATCGACCCAAGACACTACCTTGCACAACACCACCGGTTATTGGTCGAGGTGTAAATGATGTAGAGTCAATCTTGGTTATTTGTTATTTGTTCGTAAGAAAAGACTTGATCCATTGCCAAAGAGGATTTATAATTCCGACTGACTTAAGTCTGTTGATTAGTAGATTACGAAGTACTTTATCGAAAGCTTTCTTAATATCGAAATATAGTATAACCACTAGTTTCTTCTGGTCACGTATGCGAGTAACCTCGTTAAAGAAGTCTATCAGACATGTACTGCACTACCCTGTTCTAATGAAGCCGTGCTGTGACGGGTCTATTAGATCTTCCCTGAGTAGGTGATCAGATAGTTGATTTTTTATCACTTTTTTGATTATTACCCCATGAGCTTTACATCGGACATTTACCAAGTTAGATACCAATGTTTTCGCGGCAGGTCTACAACTTGTGGACGACTCCATCAGATCTAAAACATCAGGTCTCAGATTTTGACGCGAATTTTACCCATTCATTTTGTTAAATGGTGTTTTGGGATAATAACTAATGCCAGTTCGCGATAAAAAGCCCTAAACCTAATTCAACCGTTAATGATAATTCTTGTTCCTCGCACTGATTTATAACCTTCAGTTAACACTAGTAAGTATGTGGAAGTTCTTAAGGCCACTCAAAGGTCGTCCATAAATAATAGTCTCACCGAAAATAGGACTTAAATATCTAAAGTGCGGCTTCTCATGAAGTTTCAGGACTCCATGAGTTACCATACATTGAGAGACTTGAGAAGTCAGGTAACCTTACAGAAGATTAAATCATGATCTAATTTTTGTGTGTAGAATGCTAAGAAACAATTTCAAATGTGGTATATCTTCTGCTTTATTTCTTAAAAGAGCAGGAATATTCAAAGTATATGCCAGACGAGTAGAAAAGCTAAGAACAGAAAACAGTCATGAAACACAAGTCTTCACACTGAGAGGTCAATTATTGTGATGGATTTCCTAAAGAAGTGATAACCATCTCCCTAATTATCAAATAAATGAGAAGACTAGATACTAAGAAGCCTACTAGAAAACGACTGACACCGGCCGTAAGCTTTCTGTACTCAAAATACAAGTCTTAATCCGTAAATTTGTCAACTTTATGGACTTGATAAAAAAATATCCGGGTATTGTATCTTACTTAGATGGTGGTTGGAGGTGGTCGACAGGAAACCCTGGACCCGGGTTTCGTGCTACTTGGCACTCGTCAGCAAGGTGTACCTGTAATCTTTGAGAGAACTGGTGCTCCCTGGCGGATTCGATCCCGTGTCACCCAGCTTCACAGTCAGAGACGTTACCACTGAGCTATCCGGGCCGCGACCGACATCCTGTAGGACTGAGATGTAATCACAATTGATTGATCACTGGATGACCAATGTCATGCGTGTCTAGTCTTTATTATTAGTGCAGATCGAATGCTATCGATCGTGTTGCAATGTGGCCACCAGTCTAGGTGACTCGACACCGCTGGGCACTATTGTAAGGTTAGATGGTGGTTGGAGGTGGCCAATAGGAAACCCTGGACCCGGGTTTCGTGCTACTTGACACTCGTCAGTCCTACAGGAGGTCGGTCGCGGCCCAGATAGCTCAGTGGTAAGGTCTCTGACTGTGAAGCTGGGTGACACGGGATCGAATCCGCCAGGGAGCACCAGTTCTCTCAAAGATTACAGGTACACCTTGCTGACGAGTGCCAAGTAGCACGAAACCCGGGTCCAGGGTTTCCTGTCGACCACCTCCAACCACCATCTAACCTTACAATAGTGCCCAGTGGTGTCGAGTCACCTAGACTGGTGGCCACATTGCAACACGATCGATAGCATTCGATCTGCACTAATAATAAGGACTAGACACGCATGACATTGGTCACCCAGTGATCAATCAATGGTGATTGTATCTTAGTGCCTGTGTGTACTACGCGTCCTGTCAACAGTAGCAACCTGACTAGCAGAGAATAGGTCCTCATTTTTAAATTTTTGGAGGTGGTGTAAAGCGCGAGATTACTTTTCCAAGCACATAATTTTTTAACATTCCATATAAGTTGATGGGAAGCATAATCCCTATACAAAATAATGAAGTGAATGATTACTTGAGCTACAATCTTTCGACATTCACTAAGATGTTTGCGATCAACTCTTGATCAATCAATCTTACTTGTCACGGCACATCCGTACTTTAGCACTTATTTATATTTTAATTGGCACCATATGGTTACTTGGTCATTATGTTTCTGATTACTTAACTCTTCGAATGTGTATTTGTCAAATCAACATTCATGGAAATGATCAGGCTATAGGTTTTAGAGTTCTGAACGCCACGCTAGTACTGTCAGGTCTCAGTGATTTTGCAATTTTCCCCATTTCGAAAAGGGATTAGATTGACCACATGTGTATATCCTTATCCTGAGTTTAAATTATTGATAAATGCTATCCTTCTCCTTATTTGCTAACCGTGCAGATCCATCGCAAACTGAAAAATACTGAAGATATTATGCTTGGCTTGTAACAGCTTATCACCAGGACGGTTCCTGAATTGGATGTAAGCTTTATTGTAACGAAATCTCTCTGACTATCAGCTCCACAAGATCAAACTACAAATACAGAAAAATTGTGACGTCTGTTTTTGTTCTCTGAATCGAAAAAGTATCTTTATTTTCTGACGAATACATAAAATTTATGGTTGTATATTACCTCTAAGCACAGAAAAATTTCTTATTTATCAAAGATTTCAAAAACATCTGGATTATTAAAACTGTTATTAAAACTTTTGATTAGTGTGGAAAAAAATAGTCCATTTAAAGATACTCTTGATACCGTAAAATCACGTCTTAAATGAACTGTCATTACTAAAAACAAAGAAGGAAACAACAAGGTTAGGAAAGCAAACCGCACTTCCTTAATCACATGAACTTGTCTAAATCTGGGCGTCTCAGAATACAGATGCAAAGTTGGGTAAATCTTAACCTATCAGCAGTGTTCTTTAGGACTAACACGGTCAGCATTGTTGTTGATTAACTTTAGAATTATCTATTTTGGTGAATTAATAGTCCTTACATAAATGTGGCTTAGATGACTATATATGCTCGCAATAAATGTTTCAAGTGAATTAGCACAAGAAAACATGCTTGTGTCCAACCTTAATACCGACATCACTCTCGAAAGAGTGAATTATTTTATTTTTTGCATACATGAAGACTTCAGGCTGCAAATAGTCCCGAGCCACCTAACAATCACTTATTAAAAACTATCATGTTATGTACTTGACTTCGTCTCCTGTTATCCCAACATTCATCAATGCACGAAAAAAAATTAACAGTGAAACAAGCAGAAAAATATATTATATTTTAACTTTTGGTATGTTCATATCAATAATGAGAATGAACAGCCTGTTGAATTAACAATCGACTGTCGAAAAGTTTTACCGAATACCAATTTGTTAGCCAAGGTCAGAGCCTCGGTCGCTTACAGGCGGCATCAATCAATTAGCAACTAGATCCAAGTAATCAAGTCTGTAAATTAACGATGATAATAAGTGATATTGGTACGTTCAGTATTCGCCCAAGCAACGTATTTTGTAAGCACAAAATTTATAATTGTCATGAATGGCATTACACGAGTTTTATCCATAATGGACTAATAGCCACGGAATAATAAGATCTTACCCAATCAACCAACAAAGGGGAAATAAAGGCGAAAAAAGGGGAAATAAAGGGGAAAATGCTTTGGTAAAGAAAGGGGAAATTTAGGGGAAAACGCGCCAAAATGTCGCCTTTTTCGCCTGTCTTGGGGAAATAACGCGGATTTCCCCCTTTTTGTCGCCTTGTCGCTAAATTGTCTACTTTTCGCCTAAATATCCGCCGAATTGTCTACTTTTCGCCTAAATATCCGCAGAATTGTCTACTTTTCGCCTAAATTTCCGCAGAATTGTCTACTTTTCGCCTAAATTTCAGCCGAATTGTCTACTTTTCGCCTAAATATCCGCCGAATTGTCTACTTTTCGCCTAAATTTCCGCAGAATTGTCTACTTTTCGCCTAAATGTCAGCCGAATTGTCTACTTTTCGCCTAAATATCCGCCGAATTGTCTACTTTTCGCCTAAATATCCGCCGAATTGTCTACTTTACGCCTCAAAATAAATTCACACAAAATTGCGCGTTTTTTATCTAACCTTAAAATCGCCATTGGCACTACCCAAAAGTTCTCCAAAATTCGCCTTTACTTCTACAACAAACCACAGCGAAAGTGCAATGGATGGGGAAAGCGCTATATATGTTTATATATTTTTATTTCAAAGGAAAAGCGTTTTGTTTTACAACATAATAGCGGAAGCTTGAGCATCAGTCTTTTAGCATTTCATTTGTAATTCCAAATTCGTCGTGCTTTGAGATCTGCAACAGAAGAAACATGTGATGTCTTATTTATAACACATGTGCATTTAATCGAAAGTTCACTGACAATGAGTAAGAATTCAAGATCTCTAAAGAAAATATGTTTATTAAAAATTAGGTACAACATCAAACAAAGTTACACCGACTACATTCTTCAGCAACGTTTGTTCGGCTATTGACAGTCAAAACAGTCGTCCTGTGAATTCTGAATAGTAAAAAAATGAAAAGTCAAAACGAATTCTGAAAAACATGGCCGAAGACACAGAAAAGTACTTTAAGCTAAACTTACGGTTATGTTCGTTAAGACTGTTGACTGCAACTATAAAGAAGTAGGGAAATTATCACTTTAAATTAGTACATACCTGCTCTTGCTTCCGTCGATTACGCTTCATCAACTTGTCTCTGACGTCATGGAAATAACCTTGTGTCGCGATGTCGTAAAGCTTCGCAAGGTCTTTTTCATTAACGGAGGATGACAAGAAGCGATTTGTCAATGCACCTGAAGTTTAATTTATAAGTATAGGTTACTTCGTATGCAGCCATAAAACCGACATTTCTGAAGTGCGCGCTTTGAAGAAGTGCCCAGCAATGTGAAATTACTGGCCACCTCAGGTGTCATGATGTACGACAAAACGTAACGCATTGACATTTTAGGGTCATCACCCATTAACCTCGTCAGCATCGCCATCTGTTATACAAAGATGTCAGTAAATTAATGTTGCTGACTTACAAATCTGTCCCTCGTTTCCTTCTGCTGCAACCCAGTGTCCAGCATCTGCAGTTCCTCTTCCGATGACAAAGGAAACTGCTGACTTGATACTCCGCAATCGAATTGATGCGGATGATCATGTTCACTAAACTTCGCCAGTAGTACCTTGACATTTATACTCAAGTCAGTAATTGCTGAAGACATGTTTTGTATTGTCTTACTCAAATCAGCAATAGCTGACGACATGTTCTTCAAGGTTGTATGCAACCTATCAAATCTTAAAAACGTCAATTGATGGTACAGGTGACTTACTGGCCCGCTGAAGCACAGTCTACATGCTTAGATTCCACTGTTGATGGTGATGTTTCTAATTGTGTAGAACTACTTCATTAACATTTACATAGAAATGAAACTTACTTGGCAATTGGCGAGACAACTTTGTCGAACAACCGAAACTTCGGATAATGCACTTGGCTATTTCCAGCCTGCATCTCGGCCACATCCATATCGACTGAATTGTAAAGAAACCCTTCTTTACGCTTCAATGCACCTCTAAGAAAAGTTAGTAATAAAAATGTACAGACCTCTTTGGTTTTTCCGTGTTTAACGGCAATGTGTTCTCATCCGTTGACGTGTTATTGCGATGCTGCTCCAGTATTTGTAGGGACACTAACATGTCCTTGGCAGACTGCAGAGAATCTACAGTTAACTATACTTTAAATGTATTTTACTCACCAATTTCCTGAATAACTTTGCACTTCAGCAGTGACCAACTGCCCTATAGGGCAGGTGAACGAAGGAAATATGACATATTTTGTCGTCAGCTGAGATATGTACCGTAAATTTCGGTCACATGTAAACCATCAGGTGCGTCCTATTGGTTTATATGGGATCCTTAGCTCCCCGAAAGTTGAATGAACTGCATCTAACGTTTAACTAAAATTGGTATACTAATGATCTTCCTGAAAGGTAAAAACAAACCCTAAGCAATTTTTCGTTTGGTGGAAAATTTCGTCGATTTTGCTGAAATTTTAAAGAAGCCATAACAGAAATGGCACGAAAACCATAAAATATTCCCTGACCAGATTTGTGTAATAAGGACAGAAGGCCTACGGCTGATGTTATTCCTTTCCTATTATGCTTCTGTAAGTGTCCAGTCTTCTCTTGAATGAGTCAATTGAAAGTGCGGATACCACTGCTCCGGGTTACAAGTTTCAAGTATTAATAACTCGATGTGAAATCATGTATGCCAAGGATATTTTGTTCGTTCTTGGCTTTTCTACTCGCCTGCCATATAATCTGAGATGTCCCGATCTAGTGTGAAGAAAGAGAGAGGTCAAAAATCATTTCTTAGTACTCTGCATCAAAATAAGACATCTCTTTAGTCTACGATAGCACAGAGTAAAGAGGTCTGGCTTTACAAACCACTCTTTGTATGGTAAACCCCGGAGTTCTGGAATCGCACGGATAATTGCACATTGAACTTTTGTCAGGATATCCGAGTCACGTTTTAAACAGGTTCTTGCAGTCTGAACGCCGTTCCCAAGCTTAGTCCTCACTAAGGCTGTGTACACTGCAGTGAACATGGTAGTCTCTAACTTAATGAATGTCCGTTTTAAGGCTTAGAGGGCTCTAAACCTCTTAGCTGTGACCTCCCGGAAATGAGCTGTCATCTTGACATCATGACTCATTGTCGCCCCAATATCCTTATGAGACCGGACTACGGGTACAGGTACTTCCCCTATTCTTTACCTAATAACCATCGTACCCCAAAGTGCATGTACACACACTGCAGCATTGATAGGCATCAGCCTCTCTTGGGACCGGTTAATCACATTATATAAGTCTGCCTGAAGTGCACATGCACCTGCGTCTCCCGTTATTTCTCGCCGGACTTTTACATCGTTAGCGTATAATAACATTGGGGACTGTACTATACTTGGGAGATCATCTAACTACAGTACAGAAAAGGACTTAAGACAGGACCTTGCGGTGCTCCACTAAGTACTGGTCTCCAGGTGGAGCACTTCGAGTTTATCCTTAATTCCTGTCTACGACCTTCTACGAAATCCTTAAGCCATTTTAAGAGAGGTCCGGCAACGTCGAGATTTTCTAGTTTCAGTAGCAGTCTATTTGTTGACACTGTCAAATGCATTACTGAAGTCGATATAGACAATATCCACTGAGTTTCCATTGTCTAGCGCCTTTATCCAATATTCTCTTGCTATAAGGATGTTTGTTGTGCAAGATAAACCCTTTCTGAAACCATGTTGTTCTCTGTTTAACAAGTTATTGGTTTCCATAAATGCCGTTATGGTCCGTTTGACTATTCTTTCCAATATTTTAATTACAACACTGGTGAGGCTTACAGGTCTGTAGTTCAATGGAACTTGTCTTGGTCCTGTTTTATGTATGGGAGTGCCGATCGCGTCCTTTCATTCCATATGTAACACACCTTGGTCAAGTGACATATTGAATATCATAGTCAGAGGCCACGATATATTATGCAATATGTCTCAAGATTTTGGGGCGTAGTTCATCTGGTCCTGTTAACTTTTCCATGTCCAAGGTGCTAAGAGCCTACTTTTAAGTTTACATAGTCTATCTACGGCGCATTAAAGTCGCATACTATAACGCTTTTACGTTTATTACACCAGGACTTATGTTTTCGTAGGAAGAAGTCATCTACTGCACATTGTGGACTGCGATATACTACAACTAATTTAATATCTTGCCGCCTATATTTCAGCTTGCAACGCACCAGTTCACATGTCCCTGAATCATGTGTCACTGTCTCAACTGCTCGCATGGCTAAGGTACTTTTCGTGTACAGTATAACCACGCCTCCCGTATGGTTTCGTCTATCAACCCAACTGGACAAAAAACCAGTCGACTGAATTTAATTATCGATCACTTCTGACGTTAACTATGTTTCTGAGACAGCAATAACATGTAGTTTTCTTTATGCATCATTGTCTTGAGCTCCACCATTTTATTTAGTAGGCTTCAAGTATTTCTGTAGCACACCTTTAATTCTGTGGAGAACTTTCCCATACCACGCAGAGTGGTTTGGAGATCGTTTCGCTCAGAACTTTTACAATTTGAAAACCCTTAAGAACGAGGTTTCTTTCACCGTTTTGGCGGCGCTCATTTATCTCGACTTCTGCAGCTCGGCTCTTAATACGATCAACTAGGCTGAGATCCTCACAAACGTATATTCCGGATCCAACCAGTTTGCGTGAGTTTCCCGGTATCAGGTTTCTTTCTTCAACCGTAGCAAAGCTAACCTTCAAGAGGCAGCTTTTCTGAGTACTCTTAGAATCCACCTTTTGTCCTATTCTATAAATCTTACAGATGCTAATCCCTGAAACTATTCCTGAGAGTAGCTTGTTTATTAAGGACTTAATATGACTGAGGTCGTGCTCAAATCTAGACTTTGGTTCCTTATCAGAAGATTCTCTTAAGTTATGAAAAATTAATGACTTCTCAGCGAGGTCCATCTTAACACGCTGTGGAATTTTTGTTCTTGAAATCGTCTCTTCCCTGCAATCCGAACCCGATTTAGCGTCAAACACAGAAGTGGCATTCTGTTTTCTTGCTTTACTTTTCCTGGGTGTGACTGTGGGTTACTTGTTTACCTTATTTTGTCTCTTGATCATATCCTCTGAACTCCTCAGACTTGGATCCGCAATAGTTTCTATTGCACTGATATATGTATCCGGAACTGAAACCGTAGATTCACACGCCTCAGTACTGTCTATAGATAGTTTCTTCTTCCTTGTGAAAATGCCTACATTCATATGCTTATCCGCTTCCCTGATAGGCCCCATATTTATGGTATTGACGATGCCACAGGTATTCGGAATTTGACAACGCTTTAAACAATAACACCTAACATAAAGCGTACCCACCAAGTGAAATCAAAAGACAGAAGCGAGGAGGTTCGAAGATATATTTGACAAGCTATCAATATATCGAGGATCGTCTGAACCAATCTGGCTAGCGGTTGCAGTGGATGTTGAGCACGGCGTTCCCACACATGATCTGGTGCGGATGCATGATCAAGAGCCTTCAGCTAGATGAGTCCATTAAAACTAATGTGGTCAGCATCCAATGTCGAAAACTTACAGAGCTATTTATTTTGGGGATTTATTTACCGCTACAGTTTCATATAAGTTTAGAGCTAGGCTGGTGATAACGCTCTCAATTTTATCGAGTGCGGAATTCTGTTCGTCTGCTGTTGTCTGTTTATCTGAGGGCAATTTGTCTAACTATATTCAGCAGCTCAATCGCCTCTAGAATCAGCAAAGACTTTGTAGAACAACGTTCTTTGCAGAACCATCGTGACAATGGCTTACAGTACCGTTTACATGCAGCAGGTGTGAGTCCGGAGCACACGTTGTGATACCACTTATTACAGTTATCACATTACGTCCCATCATCGCCAGGGCAATAGCATACCGGTCTGTCACAACGATGTTTCGATTGCACCCTCAATTTGTTTTATGTTGATGTGTGAATAAGAACCATAAAAAACCGACTTCTGTATTTACAAAAAGACCTTAACATCTATGGATAAGAACAATGCTCAAAGATATATTGAACGACGACGAATAAGTACCAGTCCCTTTAGTTTTTTGTATCTTATATATTCTTATAAGTTTTCCTAAACTTTGTGGAAAACTACGAATTTTCACATGACCTTAGGAAAAACCCCAAGGTTTACCTATAATTTCGCAAAATTAACCCGAAATCAAAAGACTAGGAAATGTAAATGTATTCAGAAAATTTGAGGGAGAATCAGAAAGTTTGTCAACAAAATGGACAAAAACTTCTTTAGTGCTGTTGTTTACTGTTATAATAATCTTCAAGAACCAATATGATGAGATGAGGGGGAAATACCACTGTTCACAATTCTGTGCATTGTGAAGAGTTTCATTGCAATGTCTTCTTTAGACTAATAATATATCAGCAAAGGGAAATTTGTGGATTTTGATTTTCGTAAGCCCTAAAATGTAGTGCAAAAACTAGAGACAATCAGTCAGGATGCAACCGTAATTTCTAATTCAACCTCCGAATTATTGGTAAAATTCTATCAATTTTGGGGGATTCTGAGTAAGGTTCTGTATAAAATAAAATTTAAAACATGAAAATATCCTCAGGTCCGTGGTTTTTTCCAAAGCTTAAGTTATCTAAAGGAAATCTCTTAAACCTTTTAGGATATTTTAATTAATCCTCAATAGTTCCTTAAAATTTACCCGGTATTTCCAATAACTTGGAGGAAATCCATTGAAGTTCACTGATAAAACCCCAAAGTTTCCCCAATATTTTGGGAAGTTATATGAACTTCCTTGATTGTTACTCTGGATTTTACGCTGAATTCACTGTATATAAACGTCATTCTTATTTGCAGTAGATTTCCCAATTTCGAATCCACTAGGCCATTTTTCTTCACATCGCACATCTTTTTAAAGGCGGTGACCAACATAGCTTGCATAAACGTTCTACATGGAGAAGTACATATACATTTTTCAAGAGTAATTAACATATTCGTATTCTCTCCAATTAAGATCAAGTTGTTGGTGTGTTTATTACGTATAAACCAAACTTTTATTAACTGTGTTCAACAAACATAAAAAACTTTGTTCTTCTATGTGATAAACGCAACATCAAGTATCCAAGATACTTGTGGACAAAAAATGCTTAGTAACAATCATTGATCATGGGAATCTACACCCCCGATGCCCATAGTGCCACTTGAAACGTATATTAACTATGAAAGGTAATGTAGAAATGTTTGCTGAATTAAAAACTTACGGTTAGGTCGGTAAGTACTTGTGAAGCCAATTGACGTTAAAGTATACAGTAAGTAGTAATTTAAAGATAAACCATTTAAAAAAGGTAGTGAAAATATCTACAGATATTCAATAATACTCTTAACTTCTATTGAGTTTACCTTTTCGTTGAACTGCTATTCACGCTTTTTTACATTATTCCTTGCGTAGTGCATCTGGCTTGCAACATCCATCGCTTGTTATCTCGAAATCGGAACAGGTCGAACTTTTAAACCGTTAACACAAAAAATCTTATAAAAATGCTGACTGTGATATTGACTATTTAAGAGTTGTCCCGTAGAATCTGTAGTTACACCAATTTAGCCTTTAGTTCCGTAAAGCTATAAATAATACTTCAGGCATCAACACGTAGGCTAAACAAACTGTCATGGACTTCCAAGCATCATTACAAATAACCTCGAAATATTCCACAAAAAATTGTCAACTTATGGACTAGACACGGAACTTTCGTTCTTCCAATGCGGCTCCTGTGGTACGCGGTTCTTGTTTTCAACGGGTCTTTCAAAAAAGATTTCAGCAAATAATTCTGTCTTTGACCACGTCGGATGAGCTTCTGATGTAAAAAGTCATTTAATCGATCTCAGTAAATAGATAAGTAGTCGCTTTAGTAATAATACGCTATGATACTTTATCGTTGTGAGACCTATTTGTATAAAATTTAGTATGAGTGCAGTGTGCTCGTTTACACCAGCACTAGAAGATGGGAGCGGTCGTGAGAACACCTATGTTTTGAAAGAACTGCTTTATGAGCATGTACTTAGTGGATACTTAATTAGCTATTAGCGAAAAGTTCCCAGTCAAAATGTTGACGACCAGAAACTAAACAGGAACACATCCAGCCTTCATTTTAGCCACCTCCAGTTTTCTAGAGGTTCACAAGTTGCTGTTTATTCTTCGTTTAACACTCCTGACAAATTTATCGCAACAACTAATCAGTTGTTTCTTGACAAAGTCGAAATCATAAAGCGTTGTAGCACTGTATATAATACCTTTATTTAGAACCTCAGTAACTTATAATTGGGAATTTTTTTAAGAAGTGAAGTATCAATAACATTATGGGAGGGGTAAAATAACCCGAAGCGTTTGCTCTTTGATATCATTCAAAATAAAACTCCAGTGAAATCATATAGTTGTTTATCCACTAAATATGTGTTATTGGGTCTCTCAAGCAACCTACAAATGTCATGTTTAATGTTTAAGATGATCGTATACTATTGTCTAGAAATTTCATTCCGTCGACTTTTCGATATCGCACAAACGTTAAGAAAATATCGGTGGAGTCGGTAACTGGAAGCTGTCATAGATGTGTAAATGAATGGAAATAAGTTTTTGAAAGTGTACTGAGGTATAGCCAACAAGTACTACATGGCTGGAATTTGCAATCCAAAAATATTTTGAAATCTAGGGTAAGAGACCAATTCATATACAGTTCGCGTCATCATCTTCGAGAAAGCAAAAACCAGTATTTGAAGTGAATGACATGAATCTGTTTTATCTCTTCAGGTTCTTGTTAGCTGCTAATAATCTGTAATGTTTAAAAATCAAGATTATAGAGAGGGTTAAAAATACTTACAAAAACAATTTTAGTTGAGGTTCATTGTGATCGCATATCACTTTGGCTAGCGAAAATTTGAGAGGTTGGGTATATATCCAAAGCGTATTCTACTAGGTTAACAGTAAAGAGTTAGAAACAAGCAGTGAAGCAATGAGCACAGTTAAGCAAAGTGATCTCTGGGCTTATGTTTACAAAAATAGTCTACTTTGATTATATGGCTTACTGATTTCATAATAAATTATGGTCAGAACCACATCTGAAGAATTTCTGGCTAAATAAATTAGGTTTAGTGCACAATCAGTCGCTGTTGTATTTATTCTTTATCTTGCCATATATCCTTAGTTAAGTAAAGCTAAATTTTCATTCCCTGATCTTATTTCTTACCTTCAAACTGTATTTCCTATAGAAATTTAGTTCTTACCTTGGTTCCTCATTTTAATTTTTCGTCGTTAACTTGTTGGTATAGGAATGTGAGCTCATATATTTTCGCGCTAGGCACTGCGTTCATAACTGTTTGTATTCATCTCTCTCCTAACATAGCACATCTTATCACACTACGAATGAAACAATGTGATTACCATTTGCTTTATTTCCTACCAGGATGCTTTTAATTCCAAAATGTATGGTTATCAGTATACATGTTTAGATGTTTTTTTATTTCGTCAAACCACTTTTACCTTGATTTCATTTTTGTCGTAGGTCTTACCGCATACTTTTTTATCTGCTTTAGAACAATACTTGAATTTTTGCAACCAATCATGATCTAATAATTTCTCTCTTTACAGATGAGTTGGTGGATTAAATATGCACTAATAGTTTGATCAGAGATTCTGAATTTATATAGTCCTACTAATTTACTGGATTGTTCTCAAAATGAAGTTAGACGAAATAACACCAGATGATAGTCTAGACAGTGTGCCAGAAAGTATTTCATCTAGTCTAGGTAAACCGTTTTTGACTGCAACTTTCTAAAGTTTCTCTTAGTTGGGAATACATACGCTGTTGAGTCAATAAATGATGCCTTATTGATGCTTTCAAGGGAATCTAGTTTTTCCGAACTATTCAGTGAAAGTGAACAGAAATGGTTCGAAAATTTTAAAAATTTGCCAAGTACGTTGTGAGTATTTTCATTTGCTAACTATGCTTTTAATTTCTAAACAGATCTGTCCAAATCACTGATTATTCGCTTATATGGTCGGTCTCAAAAGATTTTTCGAAGATCGGACCTCATGAAAATTATTCCGAATGATATTGATCAATGCTTAAGAGAATTAAACGGTTTAAGATTTCTTTGTACAGGTTTAGTCATAGCTGTAATTAAAAACCCATAACTATTGCGTACTGCCTTAGATATACAATCGTTATCAAGCGAAATGTTGATACATGCTCTTAACCGTCAGGAGCTGGACCAGTTAGCTGGGATGTACAACATCAAGAATTTCAAAAGTCTAACAATGATTCAGTTGAGAGATACCTTGTTGAAAACTTCATCTGTTTCACCTATGGCTTCATTTTTCAAAGTTTCTATTCAGAGTAAAGATAGATTTAAAAGATTGTAAGTTGAAAAGGGAATTTTGATATTCCCTTAATTCACCTCTGTTTTATTCGTTCAAAATGGGTTTTTAACGTTAGGAATAATTTTTTGTTCTTCCCCTTACTTTATAGGCACTCTTGATTAGAGAACTATCTCAAAAATTAAATCTTTATTCCAGATAGCTCTATGTACATACTAAATAAAATCGGATGTATTTGCAAGTTAACAAGTGATGTGGTAATAAAATGGCACCGTCAAAAATGTATCATTACATTGTTTTTTGCAAACATAATCTTTTTTAAGTTGACACACAATTTACTATCTAAAACTGATAAACTTCATTATTTGTCTAATATATACTTAATTTAAAAAAGACATTCAGCATGGAATTAATATTAAAGCTTATTTCAGTGTATGATTTTTCTTAATCGAATTAAGACGGAATAGCTAGTGACTAGATATCATTGTGATTGTCTTTAAATATTTCAGTAAGAGTGTCAAGTCAGTTAATGAGGTTATAACGTTTCATCAAATTTAGTGATTGCAAGGTCTTACACATGCTCAGCTACCATGTATACGGTTTCTCAATATTTTCGGGGGTAAGAGTGGGTGGAAAAAACTCTAGAGGTGCCTACACCAAGATTTGATAATGAATAAATTTACTAAATGCTAGTGATGAGATGCGGATCACCTAATCGTCCGAGAAGATCACGGTAGTCGGACGTTTTATGTGACCTAACTTAACATCGGGCAATAGCGCTGTTTTATTCATTTTTTATCCTTCTTTATGTTATGGCCTATAGCCCGTCAATTATCACATAACAAGATCGGCGATCAAAACAAAGGCGTATACAACCTTGAACCTGTGCCAAATCAGTGACGCGTTAAGCAGCGCGAGAAGCCTAGAGTCAACTCTGAGTCTATTGGTTATTCTCGTCTGGCCCTTGAGTCCAGAACACAATCTTAGTTTCCACTGTATGAATCATGTATTTCAGAAATACACAGTTTATATGCAAGCAAATCAGAACGCATCATACCATAAAATAAAAAAAACAGTTAGACAGGATCAAGCCAAAAGTGGCTGTGATTGTGAGAGACTAACTAATAAATTTAATACAATTTAAGCATAATAAATTGTATAATACTAGTCAACAGGTTAAATAAAAGCTTATGATAAAAGGAATATAAATATTTATAATCTAGTTAATAATTATACAATAGGAATATGTATATGATAACAGTCCATAAGTAATTTCTAGCAGTTACCATTCATTTATTTTTCTTTAGGATATAACAATTTACATTTCGAACATGGTATTATTTCATAGTTTTAGTTTTTCGATCCTGTTTTTTTGGAACATTTTATATGTTTAGCTTCTTACTGCTATTGGGAACATTATTTGCTCTTCATCGCCTGTCTTAGTCTTCTCTGTCACCGCAAAGATGTATAGCTCATTGAACCGATACACGTTCATACCAAGTCTTACGTGGTCTCTGAATAAGCTATCAACTTTCTAGTCCTTATATTGCAGTTGAATTTTTTTCAACCATACTACTTTCACTAATTATTTATTTGATCTCGATTTTTTTATTTCGTATATGACTTAAGTTTACTGTAAAGAGTTTCTTTCTTTACTCGACTTAAACTGTATTTTCTCATGTTCCATCACTTCCGTACGTGACACGAATTATTTTTCAGTGTATATCAGTAAAAAACTGTAAAACCTAATCTTTTATCTGTCTATTATCATGAAAATAAAAAGTTGATTCGCATGTTAACTTTCAATGCTTCTTGTGATTATTGTAATGTGGTATCAGTGCTTGAAGTCACTAACTTCTAGTCTAAGCCATGTTGGTAGATGCAGACTACTTGGTTGGGGTCCACATGACTATCGTAACCAATGTTTGGATACTCTGGGTGACATGGCTCAGAATTGATCACAATGGCGTAGGTGCACACACTCTGTCTTCCTCTAAACTTTAATATTAAAGTTGCTTTATCTCTTTCTTTCTACCAACTAATTCCTTCTTCCTGCACTAGATCCTTATATGCAATCTTTCTTTTATATATCACCAGCATTGAATTGACTACTATGAATCCGGTGTTCATCTGACTGTACTAATGATGTATGCCTCCTTGGACCGATGCATATATGTGCCTGGTTTTAAGTTGTAGTTGACTGACTGTAAAGTAAATTTCTGCAGTTTTGGTATGTTTTTTTCTTTTTTCCGTCGTACTTACCAATCAGAAATATTATTTTACAAAATGGTTTCGGTTGTGAATTCTACCATTTCTGATTTGTATCCCTTGTCACTTTATTTTTGAAGTTTTCTGGGATGAATATCATTAGGTTCTCTTTGAAAATATTTTTTTTCTAAACTGTGTGATTAACTCGGGAACACTATGTATGCAAACTCTTATCATACCGTATTACTAACTTAATAACTGTTCCTGGTCTCTCTATGCTTGATGTGATTATATTTTATCTTATGAATAAATAAATAAGTACATAAATATTGCTGGTCTTCTATGTTTTGTTTTCACGAATTTCCTCTTTTCACAGTGAAGCATTATTTGTTTATTTTGACCATCCATTTTGATGTAGAATAACTCGAATTCTTCATGGTTGCTGGTATGTGGACGAGACATACACGCAGTTAATTACTCAATTACTTTGGTTAACGTCTCTTGGTTCTGAATCAGCATATAATAGACCAAATAAATTGCAGTCAATTGAAGCCATTATGAAAGCTGAGCTGTGAGATATTTTTTTACATATTTCTTGTTTTACACTGTTATATTTATTTGTGGATATGGATTGTAGTTACGAACAAATATAAACTAAGTAATCACTAAAAGATCAGTAAGCACTGAATGATTGTTTTGTGTTGATTCCAGGCCTCCTTAGTATTGCTCGCTCGTGATCCATACGCTATCGAACCAAAGGCTTCAAAGTTTTTTCAGTGAACATACTCTTATTCACTGACATTCTGTTATATCCGAGCAAAGATTAAATCACGAGTAATTTCTGAGACATTAATTGACTTATATTATCTATATATTCTTACGGTATAACTATTCAATAGTTAGATTATGTATATTTATATTCCCCTTATTATAAGCTTCATTTTGACCTATAATTTATCATTGTACGATTTACAGTCCCTAAATTATGCTCAGTTTATTAATTACTGTCTCCCATATTCACAGCCACTTTTTGGCCTATTTGTGTACAAATGTTAATTTCTATTTTATGGTACGTTGTGGTCTACCTGATTGATATATAAACCGAGTATGTCTGAAATAAATGATTTGGTTCGATTTGGCTGATTCGGAAGCTGGTATTGTGTTCTGGACTCAACTGGCTGGACTAGACAGGGAAGCAGAGCCAATCAGAACTCTAAGCTGCTCGCTCGTATTTGATGCGTCACTGTATCGATCGATAATACGCTACTCTCTAATAGGTGGATCACACGTTCATAACACATTCAATCTAGTATATCTTGCGATTATTATGCTATTTAATCAGTAAACTACTGTTTCACCCTCGAAAGCGTTAGTTCTATAAGTTAATACACTATAAATTTGGAAAATTTACCTGGAATTAAGCTACATGCGAGAAAATCTTTGACATATATATCACCACGATATCCTGTACGTTTATATCTATATGGAATAACTATACATTGTGTCGTTTCCTGATAAGAATAATGAGTGGTGATTTTTGGGATCCATTTGTGGGCCAATATTATACGTATATTTTTGTCGTATAATTGTTAATTAACTAAACTATTCATATTCATGTCTCTCTTATTATAAGGTTTATTTTAACCTATGAACTGTTATTATACGATTTTCCATTCTTGAATTATTCCCTGTCTATGAATCACTACCTCCCACATTCACAGCCACATTTGGCTGTTATTTTCTATTTTATGGTATGTTGTGGTCTGTTTCATTGGTATATAAACTCAGTATGTTTGAAATATAATGATTTATATTGCAGAGTCTGAGATTGGTGTTCTGGACTGAACTGGCTGGGTTAGGCGGAAAGCAAAGCCAATCAGGACTCTAGGCTACTCGTACGGGTTTATGCGTCATTAATCCGGTTGATAAGCCACCGCTCTCTAGTCGGCGGTCACAAGTTATAACACATTGTTATGATCATTAGATAAATAATCTGAAGAAAAGTAAATTTCAACTAAAACATTGTGCGTCTTTTAGTATTCTTTACATTGGTTACTTCCTGTATACAAAAAGCTTGATTGATGTTTGAAGAGACAATCTACTCTGTGTGACACAATTTAGTAATGCTTAACTTTCTTTTCTAAACGTAAATAACCTGTAAAACTTAACAGTATCTGTCTTTATCATATAATTTTCATTCAAGTTAAACGATGTCAGTGACTAAGTACGAAAAGTATTTTTTTCTTAATTGTAGTAATATTTAACTTTATTTATTTATTTATTTATTTTAACACATAAATATCGGTACAAGAAGGCACCAAATACATATGCGCCACACAGATCTCATTTGATATGTGTGAGGGCTGTGATACTGCTCGGGTGCCCAAACCGAAGCAGGTGGTTTTCTTAGGGGGCCACACCCCGAGCCTTATTATTGGGTGAAAATTACCTAAGGTGCATATTTTAGTCAATCAAATCATTGAGTATAACCAATTTGTTAATGTGGCCGGACAACTCACTTATACAATGATACAAGTATTTGGACTTTCTAACAACTCAAAAAAAAGTTTTAAGCGGTATAACGTGAGATGTAAACAAGTGAAATGTGCGTTTACTATACCCTAGTGGACATTTTAGAATCACATTACTTGTTATCTAGTTAACCGTTCCTCATAACATAAATCTTTTCCGTCTTATAATCGCTTCGTCTTGATTGATGAAGACTTCGTGGTTTAACTTTTTAGAGTCATTCAAAAGTTTTTATGGCTTCATCTCTGGTGGTCATCCAACTCAGACAGATAGTGTATGGTTGTTCAGTATATTTTGATGATTCCATCCGGTCACCTTTGTATACTACTGTTTCTATTTGTAGCTTTATTCCATAATGCACCGGGTTGCTGCAGTCTGTTCCTGACTGTACCAAAGTGCGTAAGCTTATAGATTAAGATGGAGTTTCATTTCCAACTAAAGAACATTGTATCACGATTCTTCCTAATCAGTTGATTTGGATTCTAAAATTCGTACTTAGTTCTAATCAGTCATTTCGGAATAATCTACGTCTCATTTTAAAGGATATTTCACTTATATCCTTTTTATATTGAATATTATACTTGTTGTGAAGCCTTAGTTTGTCAACACTAAGTTACAGTCTGTATATAGTGTTGTTGTACCCAGATAATTCATTACTCTCGATTGAATTTATTTTGTTCGTTCAGATCGATTTTCTTTATTATATTTGTTTTACTGTTTGCTCCTATAGATATGCAATGATGCTTGTTCGTCGAGGTGAACTTGTCTTTCCGTCATACGTAGTCAATCGTAAATCTACAATATATCGTACAAGTGACGAATTCCAAAAGTTTGTTCCATATTTCAATCCAATTGAATACGATTACCTGTTATTTTCTTTTACTCAAAGGTTTCTAGAATTCATGAGTTTGGAAATCCGAATAGAATATTTAATTAGTCAAAAATTGTATGATCTTGCTTTACAATTATGTTTGGATAAGAAAACTAAGTTAATCAACGAAGTTACGAAGTAAGGACAATCTTTTTTTTAATTACAGCTTTATTCTGTACATGTACAAAAACTAACTATTTATCATTTTCCGCATTTATCAGAAAGCTTTTTTTCATATTTGGTTAGACATTAAAGCTAAATATACACATTTTTATGATGGTAGGCTTTACATTACATCTACTATTTAATGATTACGTGAACTGCCGACCCAGTATAATAGGATTTATAATTTCATTTAAAAGTAAGGTGTTTGAAGCCACTCTGCCTAAGCCCAACTTTATTGGCATTAGATTGTGAGAAAAAGAATAAACCAATTCGTAGTCTGTTTATTAATATTAACTATTTAAATATGAGGTGAGAGTGATGGTAGTGCTGACAGAGATTTGGGTTCAGTGGGGACTTTTGGAGACTTATTAGTAGATTATGAACTGCTTTGACGATAACTCAAACTATTTACAGTCGATTTCGAGGTACTATTTGTATCAAGTATTTGTAGTCTTTAAAATTCGTATGGTCGCCATCCGCAATCAGGACGGTGGCTTTGAGTATGTAGTAAACTGTTTAAAAACTGATTTTCAGTAATTTGGTCTTAAATTACAAGCTTGGTCATCCTATTTTAATTTTGGTGTCCGGTTGACGTCAATAATCCTTTCGCATACATTTATTTCTTGTCATCGTGTAACCTAATGTGTACTCGGCTATCGAGCCACGTTGAAAATCTGAAATTTCAAGAAGAGATATAAAACAAATATCCATTCTTCGGGAATTTTGGTGGTTACTTGTTTTATGGATTGTAATTTGTAACTAAATCTTTCAAGTGCCGTTTACTAAGTAACAGTGCTATCAAATATCAATCTAAATCTTTTGTCAAATTACAAAGGCTGTAACCTAAAGCATCATCGCGCGATACTAGTAGTCTAGTTTACAACTATATTATATTTTGCTGTGTTAAAATATAAGCAGAAAAGTTAGGGATGAAACAAATAGTTGAAGAGCAATAAAACGTTCTATACTCATAATGATTTACTATACTTGCATCAGTCTGATCGATTTCGACTCCTATCATCTGACGACTAATCCATATAAATGACCAGTAACTTCATGAAGTAACCTCAGTTTTGGTTTGTTTGCCATTAACTGCTCAACATTTGTAAAACATCCTCCGATTATTTCATTTAGTACAGATTTTCGTTGCCCTTATAGATCAATTTTTTATTCGGATTTTTGTGTCTTATCTAGCGCATGCAAGTAAGGTTCTAAAAATATGTATGATGACATTTGTGTCATTTGCCTTCATTAATTGAAGGTAAAGACTGTGCTAAGTGCTACTCTGTGGGCCCTTCTGTACAACGTTTTCTCCATAACTTTTCTTGGACAAAATAAACTGTTCATATTGCTCACTTATTCTTGGATACCTTGATTTTGTTGGTTGTCTAACTGTACCTGGTTAATTTTGGTGTTTCAGTTTGTGATGTTAACCATAATTTGTGAAGCCGAAATGCAATTAAAATAGTTCTTTATCGGTTTAAAGTAAAAGTTTAAAACAGAAGTGTGTCCATTCGTAACAATAGACTTATTGTGAATATAACATTTCTGAAGAGATTATGTTTCAGCTTTCATATTTCTAGATCCTCTGCCATTCATATAGACAGTGGCAAATTCTTTATAAGAGTAGTTTATGCGACCTCGTATTATAGTTTCAATCTCTAGTTCTGATAGATTACCAAAAGTTAAGTTATTACTTCCTGTTTCTATAACATTTTAAATCATAGTTTATTTTTATAATCGTTTCCTATAATTGTGTCATATATTCTATATAAAAATTTACCCTTGTTTAGTGAATTTAAAGTTATTTGATCAAAATGCGAGTTTCAATCCGATAGATTTTTAAAAAATGTCCATATCCGTTTTGTGTTTATTTTTCATCACCCTTTTTTCCAAATATATTCTTTAATATCTAATTATATGAACACATTTCATTATGACATAGTTCTATTTGGTGAAGACGCTGACAGAATGCAGAGTCTACTGACCACTCTAAGCAACAATGCAAGCATGTTCGGCATACGATTTTCTCCCTCGAAATGCAAAATGTTGCTTCAGGATTGGGTTGCATCGGCACCCGAACTAGTGATAGGGAGTGAAGTAGTTGAGCGTGTCAACCGCTTCACTTATCTTGGAAGTCTCATCAGCCCTTGTGGTTTGGTGTGTGACGAAATCTCAGCACGGATACAAAAGGCTCGACTAGCTTTTGCCAACTTGCGTTATTTGTGGCGTAGGCGAGATATCCGTCTATCAACAAAAGGACGTGTTTACTGCGCAGCAGTTCATTCCGTCCTACTTTATGGCAGTGAAACATGGCCAGTAAGAGTAGAGGATATTCGTAGGTTACTAGTATTTGACCATAGGTGTCTTCGAAACATCGCTCGTATATCCTGGGACCATCGAGTAAGTAATGCAGTTGTTAGGAAACGGGTACTAGGTAAGGATGGCAAATCAATTGAGGAAGTAGTGAAACTTAATCAGTTGAGATGGCTGGGACATGTGTTGCGCATGCCCGACCACCGACTGCCCTGACGTGCTATGTTTCCTGGTGCAGGAGTAGGTTGGAAGAAAGCTAGGGGCGGCCAGACCAAAACATGGCACAAATCCATAAAGTCATTGACAAGTGGACTGAGCCATGTTGGTAGATGTAGACTACTTGGTTGGGGACCGCGAGATGATAGCAACCGATGGTTAGAGACCTTGAATGACATGGCTCAAAATCGTTTGCAATGGCGCAGGTGCATCCACTCTTTGTGTTCTCTGAAACTCTAATCTTCTGAATTCTTCATGTCTTTCATTTTCTTTCCCAATTTATTCCACTGGACTATACTCCTTGAATAACATCATCAAACCTTCATGTCCCCTATCTCTACTTATACTTTTAGTACCTCTACCACTATGGGATTTGAATCGATAACTGAATCTCTGTGCTAATGTGGTATGACAACTCGAACTGATGTACGTACGTACGAAGTTCCACGTTGTTACTGACTGACTGATGTAACTTTAATCATTCTTAATGAATGTTATTTCAGTTTTTTTCTGACTTCCTATTATGAAATGTTGATTCAATATTTTATAATTCTGATCACAACTGTTATACCTGTCATCACTATAAATTCTTACTTATCATGTTTAGTTATATAGTCTATTTCGTTGTTATCATTGGCTCATAAACTGTCTTGTTTGTAAAAGAGAATTCAGCGAAGGAAATTTTCTTTTCGACGAAATCATCGAAAAGAAAATTTCCTTCGCTGAATTCTATTTTTCTTATTCAATAACACTATGGGTTATTTTAATTGTCTTGTTTGTATTCTTCACTATCTAATTATTTACACACTTCTTATTACGTAATGATTTTAGTGTTTTGTGATGACTATTCCAAGTCTATTTACTCACGTTGGACCTTCTACTTCCAACGTTTAACTATTGATAAGACTTTTGTTATCGTATTTTATTATTCTTACTACTATCAATACACCTGTCTTCCTACTATCAACTTGTATTTTTACCTATTATATGTGATGACCTATTCTATTTCATTGTGATTATTGACCCAAATTGCCTTGATTGGTTTAACATTTTCATATAAATATTCATGTATATTAGAGTAAAGCCTGATGACGATCTAATTGACAACAATCGTTCGCTTATATGTGTTGTTTGATTTAATGTTTTTATATATGAATTTGAATACACTGTATATTAGAGTAAAACCTGATGAGGATCTAACTGAAAGTAATATTGTTCGTTTATATGTGTTGCTCTTATTTACAATATGGGAATTATTATTATTTAAAAATGTCAAGCCATAAATAGTACCACAATGAATAACTATGTCAAGGTTTCAGAGAAATGTTGTCTTCAAGCTAACAACTGTCACATCACTGTAATTTAGCCTTTCGAAATGCATAAATTTCAGTAGCAAACAATAAGCTTAACCGGTTATCAAACTGTACTGTACAAAAGTTTGGTGAGTTTGTGGAAAATCTTTAAAAGGTGTTCACTTTGACTACTTACTACTGTATACATAACAGTTTTATTCTTCCAAACAGACTATACCCGATACAGCTTTGGGTTGTTCCATACCAGTCCTCGATATTTCTGAATTGCTGGTTTTCAGTTTCCACTTAAAATATTTTAGTTCAGTTTAATCCCTCCTATATCCTTATGTTTCTTTATCACAAGTGAACTTATTCCATTGTCGAATAAAACGGATTGACAAGTAAAATATGTAGTTGAATTACTCAAAATGTTTTCTTATTACCTAAATAAAGCACATTTTTCCCCAAATCAGCTTTGTTTCTTCATTGCACTATTGAAATTGAAAGGATCGAGTAGTTTTTAAAAGGACTAAGGACTTATAACTGTGTTTTCTAAATATAGGTGGTTACAGTAGTGATATTTATGTGGCTTAAAGTAATCACTTTTTTCATTTCAGTTTGTCATGTTCGTTGTTTGTTTGTGTTTGTTTTTAGCCTTTCATTTCGTCGCATTGATCTGCCTCAATTTCTACGGCGTTTCACTTCACCATACCGTGCATTTCGTTCATTACTACTAATGATCGATATATATGAACGTCAGAGAAAGTATAATGAAGCCATTAAACTACTTGAAACATTATTATCTTTAACTTGGTCATTACATAATGATGATAAATTTTTAAACCTAAAATTAACTGGTTGTGTTCTAGATCAACTTGGTCCTTGTCGTTTAGGCTATCTGTTAAATCGTTACATCATTAATCAAGGCACACATGAGAAACAACCAATTAAAGCATTTAAGTATGTGACTAATTACTTCAAATTATACAATGAATGTCAGTGTCTTAGAGCCGGTCGTCGTTTAATGATTCATGAACAGTTGATGAAATTGTTTGGTGGAGTGAAAAAAGAAGAAAATAATCACCACCAAAGTGGTCATACCATTGCTGCTACTACCACTACAAATGTTACTAGTAATAAACCACCTAATACTGGTGGTAATAAAAATAATGCTTCTGACGGCAATGAAATAAAAAATACAACCATTCAAGTGAAACGTAGAAGAATTCAAAAACCTGTCAATATTCACGGTAAATATTCTAAGAATAACAATGAGAGTACTGGAGAAGTTTATCGTACGAATGAAATTTTTATTGACAGTGAAAAAGAAGAATTACTCACGGTGATACCTTCGCTTGTGATTAATATCAAAGGACCGCCTAAAGTAAACTTAAGTAGCTTAAAATTCTATTCCCTGATATTGTCTAGTACATATTTATTGATTAATTTATATAAAATTTGATTTTGTATTTAAAATTATTCGATATCGTTAATAATGTTTGGCATTATTTGAAAAACAAATCAGTTAGTACGTCAGTCATAAACAACGTAGAACGAGTGAATTCATGAATTAAAAGTATATAATAATATTAGGATTCAATATTCAGAATAAAATAAAGAATGAATGTGTCGAGTGAATTTTAAACCATATAACTCAGAGTTGTTAACCTCGACAGTCGATTCCGTTTTTCCTCTTAGGCATTCATTGACTTAATGAACTGATTACATCTTTTTGCTTATTTTGCCGTTGCCTTCTTTCAATCTGCTACAATGCTCGATTGTACAGTGATTTGTGGGTCGATTGTATAATAGTATTCGAAAAATACACAGTTCAATCACCTCAGTCATAGTTTCCTCATCTGACTTCTTGTTTTTACGTTGTTCTCTACTCCAGTCGGATTTATACTTTGTGTGTGGCGCATATATATTTGGTGCCCCCCTGTACCAATATTTATGTGTTCAAATAAATAATAAATAAATTTATACTTTGTAGTTCGAGGGTAATCGGGCTACTTCTAGACTCAACCTCTTGCGATACCGTGGATGTTAACTCCTCGGAAGTCTACTTACTTTCAACAGTTCGTCGGTTCAAGTTATTCTGTATCGAGAATTAATGTCAAGCTGAGCTATCAATCGTCTTCTCACTTTTTTGTGTATTAGATATTCTGTATGTCAGGTTATTACTTAGCTGAAAAAACAGTTTGACAGTCTAACTTTTTCTCTTCTAATGTTGATCTATTAAATAGATTACATGAATAATGTAGTTATCGTGAGTAAGCATCACTTTTTCACTTCATCTCAATACAAACAATCATTTACCATCACATAACTATTATACTTCTACTCAATAGCACAGTGTTAGCGTATGTACGGTCATTTAAATAAACAAATCATTTAAATTTTTCAATTTTATTTCAATGATTTTCAAACTGTTTTCTATCTTGCGTCTCGACCTTTTTTCAATCACCGTCGTGTTGAATAAATGTCAATTTGTAACATGTTAATCATGTCATTATCACTTCTGGATGTTTAATAAAGTAATTATTTCTTAGACCTATCATATTAATGTAGTCATAGTAATAATCGTGCATTTTACTGCACAAATTTTATGTATGTTTTAATGTTAACAGAAACAATTTTTTGGTAATTCAAACGCCTAACTTCCAATACCTTAATCCTCTTGAATTCCGATCCCCCTTCCATTTTAATTGGACTAGCTATTTAGTTTCGTTTTTCTGCATGTAATAAGCTTGGTTTAATGTTCAGTACATTGATTAATGTCTGATTATTGAATGACAAATGTTTTCAATGTCAAATTACCATGATCAAGCAGGTTTTTTGTTTTTCTCGATAATCAAATCGATTTCTATACAGTGATTACTCACTTAGTTATTTCAGTATATTATTAGAGAAACAATTTCATTTTTCAAACTGAACTATGAGTATGACTTAGTAATGGGAGGTATACAAATATAATAGATTTATATTCATAATCAAGTACTGTCTTAAGATTTCCTAGTGGAAAAAGTTTCATCTTTCAGTAAAACATTTTTTTCTGACATAGGAAGTTATTTAAATACATAGAGTTTAGAGTGTATGTCATTCTAGGTAAATAACTATTTTCAGCATTTTACCTGTTTTTTGTCGAGGTTGAAATTACTGCTCCTGTTAATGCATCAGCTAAAGAAATCGGTACACATCGTCCACATTATGTATGGTTTGAAAATACTTCACCGAATAAACTTCAACATCAGCGATCACCTCAAGAATCCAATACTTTGTTACTTACAGTTGAACAATGGACTGTACGCTATTATATGGCTAATAAAAATTTTGAACACGGTAAGTAGAAATGATCCCTTCTTCATCTAACATGGATTACTTTCCATTTCAACTTTCATCTTCCTGTTACGTCCCTTCATCTCGGTCCGTATATATAAACGAATCAAATGAATTATAGTTGGATATATTCATTTTGTTGCATAATATATTTAGTTTAATAGAGGTAGGGTGTGTGATTAAATACATCTACAGTGTTAGTTAATGCAAATCATGTTGTTAAATTATATTTCTTCAACTATCTGTATGACATGTTTTGTTTTCCAATTTAAATTATGTATTAACATGTTTGGATAAAACTAGTGATTAAATAATTGATTTGTACTTCGATCGGAAGCTTTTTACTCATTGTTAACTGTGCGAAAGTAATGGTTTCTTTTAAGTGCCTTTCTAGTTTTACAATTTAAATAATGTTCACATTTAATGTATACAGTTTTGAATGAATAAATAATAATTATTTGATATCATGAAATGTTTTATCATGTTTACAGATATCTTAAGATTATTTCTATTGACGTTTTAGGTCTTTTAAGGCTGTAATTGAGTAGCTCGAGCATTATGGTTTTTGATATTAAAATTTTAACGTGATTTTGTTATTCATGGTCTCTTGTGTAACCAATACAATCATATTATTACCTGAGCAAATTTATAAGAGATAGAACTTTCGCAACTATCCTATCAGAAATTATTGTTTATATTTTAATTGTATAGTTGTTACATAATTGTAAAACAATTTATTTAACTAAGAGATCCTTTTCAACGAGTTCATTTTCAAATTATGGGTAAGTACATTATTAAATTCTAACAGACATATTTATTCAATGACATATAATTTATTTCACATACATATACAATTGTTAAGCTTTGAAAATGAACTCGTTGAAAAGGATCTCTTCGTTGAATAAATTGTTTTATAATTATGTAACAACTATACAATTAAAATATAAACAATACATCCTAATAGGATAGTTGTGAAGTCATAAATGAATGGGGTAGAATAGAGAGAGAGGAGGAGAAGAGATCCGTTTCTTAACTTTGTCTTCTGATAGGAAGCAGTCAGACGGAGCTCATGTGCCAAGTATTTTAGGTTCTAGGTCGTTTAATTCATGATCATCGAATGTTTCGTCTATGGATGGTCATTAGTTCCACAGGTAATACGCGAAATAATGAGTCGCGGAATATAGAATCCAACTCTCCCTTATAGTAAGATATCCGATCACATGGGCTAATATGAAAGAGGAATATTTTGAAAATACAACACAACATACACTCGACTGTGCATAAATGTGAACTTAGAAGATAACTGGTTTTAACCATTCATTGATTATTCAATACAAAATCAAATAGGGTTTTACCAGATCACAATACTTAATCAGTACATTATAACTTTGTTGTAATGATATACTTGTAGAATTTTTTCAGTCGTAAATACTGTTGAACAACTGACTTTCACATTTGTTTGTTAGTCGCAAATTGATATGACTTCGGTAAGTTTCGTACAGGATTGATAATCACAACTCAATAATGAATTGTCAACAGGAACTTGAATAGCTCACGACTTCTACGTATTTTGATTTCACCTGACTGAAAAAAAGATAATATTAGTGAATATATATATATATATATATATATATATATATATATATATATATATATAATTCGGTTGAAGTGCAAAGAAATGCAGGTCAACATAGATTTATGTAACCACAAAGATTAGGTGTATCCATTGAAACCATGAGCCGATCAATGTTAGACCACCATTGAAAACCTGGCAGTACTTGACGATTGCTTCATTTTAGCAAGAGACTAATCAACATTTCTCACCTACGATCCGCATGCGAGACTCAAACCCAGGACCTTCGGTATCCCGTGAACGGCCGTCCAGTGCTTTCAAGTTTTCAATTGAAGTCTAACACTGACTGGTTCATGATTTCAGTGGAATTCAACAGTCTCCACAACCACATACTGAAAATCACTGTGTCATCACTAGTTATTAGCTTCGAGAGGTAGTTCTCAGAGTTCTCTTTAGAAGCCGTGACCATCGGAGTTCAACCGTTTCTAGTGTAAGTTACCTACCAAATACCATTGAAGATGGTTGCGCAATTTCGTGAATTGGTTGAATTAGACACTAAAGTTGTCGAATCCTGGCTCAGTGGTCGAGAGTTTATGCTTTCGTGCGGGGTTGAAAGCCCTGGTTTCGAGTCCTCTGTGCGGGATCGTGGGTGGACACTGCTGAGGAGTCCCATACTAGGACAAAACGGCCGTCCATTGCTTCCAAGTTCTCAATGGTGATCTGTTATTGATCGGTTCATAACCGCCATGAAATTCAACAATCTGCAAAACCCGTTACTAAAACTAGTTGAATTGTCATTGACAAGATATATTCCTGTTATGGATTTATTTCACACTTTTAACCGGTCAAAACGTTGATTAAGTAAAACTCACCGTTGATTAATTTATCAACTTGTGGTATCAAACCCACTTATTAAATTTTATCATTTAAAAATATTAAACATCAAACGTTATACACTGATATGTCATATGATTGGCTTTCGTTTTTGATTATTCCTACCGTTATTTTCCAAAGGTATACATTGTGAATCCCAAATATATCATCTTTTATTCTGCATACTGTTTTATGATATTTTATTCGAAATATCACCATCTCCACCGGATGTCTTCTATTCATATCGTCAGTCAGCGCCATTAGATTTATTTACAGATGAATTTTATCAGTCGCGAAAAGATTTAATCGATGCTAGATTGCGATGGCTTTTGGCTGTTGACCAATCAGATGATGTAAGTAATTATAATTGGTACTAATTTTCAAATAAATTCAAGTTTGCTGGTGTAAACATGGACAATCAGCATGAATAGGTGATAAATTAATTTATTCTTATTTTCGCCTAGCACACAAAATATTTACACATTGCTTCTATAGACGATGCTAGTCTGATCATTATTTGTTTGAAGAAAGATCATTGATTTAATCCTTTGTGTTATACCTTAAACAACTGCACAGAATAACGACAACAAAAGCTAATAGCAAGAATCGTTAAGCTAAATTACATTTGGCGCTATCTTATGCATTTGTAATGATAAGAAGACAAAGTAATTCATCGATTTATTTACGTAAATATTCATTCCGTGTGAGTCATCTGACGGAGATTATGCTCTCAGATAATAATTGAAGTAATACTCATAAGCTTTCAATTCTGGATGTTAATTAAATTGTGTGAAAAAAAGAAAAGAATTGAGTTAGTAAGATGTGAATTATTTCGTTTATTAATGAGAAACGTTAGAACATTTGGCTAGAATCAATACGATTTAAGGTGTTTTCTTAAAACAGACGCAATTTCGTGTATTCGAGCAATCCATTCTTTTATGCGTATGGAACTGGTTAAGTAATTTAACGTTACTCATCAAGTACATTGTTACGTACTCATTTTTTAGCCTGTTGATACTATCCAGTTGTCAAAACCATTGTGGTAGTGGTTTCGTACTTTTAACTGGATCTATTTGAGAGACAATATGTTTAACAAATATTTCAATGAACTTCATCCAACCCTGTACCAACTATGTGAATCTCGGTTTATTTCTGGATCATTAACAACAGATTTTTGAAAGCATTTCAGCCATCAGGTTTACGAAACCTCATATATGTTTAAATTGTAGTTTTGGTAAGAATTTCTTCCAAAACATGTGCACATGCACACCATCACCTTTTTTAATTATATATACTTTGAAACATCCAGTATATAAAGAGATTGTAGATAAATAACTTGAGGAACAGTTGTCTACGTCTTTATATGTGTGTAGGTGTTTAGATTTTCTAATCGAGGTTATTCTTAATGTACCCTGTATTACTTATTATTCTAAAATCGCTTCCCTTTCATTGAGAAATAAATAGACTTATCGCTTTTCCCTCCTTTGAAAATTATTTAGCATTCTAATTCTTTGGCATTTCGTATCCATACTTATTGGGAGATGCATAATGGTGAACGTTGTTTGTGGGCTAATTGGGATTTATTGAAAAATTCACAGGAGCTTATAGTGAGTTAATCATATTTATTTATTTCTGTTTCATTTATTTGGTTTCTTTCGCTAAATTTTAAGTGATTTCTGTTTTGACTATATCATTCAACCAATGATGCATTAAGCTAACCAACTAAATAGTTACCCGAAAGCTTTAATCCTTTTAAATTAACGTTTAATTTTTAGACTATCTTTCAATATTGTGAGTTTAAAGTTGTATAATTGTAAAGTATAATTACTTTAAATCATTCGGTCTCAGATTGAAACATTTTGGGAACCTCACTAATTCCTTCGCATAGACAATAGTGAGGTTGAAAAGTGGGTAGATGAATCTGTATTGTATTGTATTTCTACAGTCCAAGGGATTATGACTGTAGTGTCTGTTATTATATTAAGCTCAAATACCTTATTCTAGCTTTCGGACAGCTCATTCATTCTGCTTGAGTCACATTCGGACCTTGTCAATTATTCGCTTATCAATCTTGACTGTTTTTATATGAGCGCGTGTGTACAATTCTTATCCCGTTACTCATCACATGTGTAACTAGAACTACTGATTAACGTGTGGTTAAAGGGATGTTGGCTCACACGCCTTCTCCATCGCGCGTCATTTTTGCTTCGTTTTCTTCTCTTCGCATAGTTCCCCCGTTCGTTTGTCTGATCAACGATTATACAAAATATATGTATCCAAAAGTCCATTCTCGTTATTTGACTTATTTGATTCCGTTACTGACTAACGTGATTTAAGTCGATGATTAAATACGAGGATAGGCGCCATATATATTTCCAAAACGATCATACAATCTACTTGGAGTCAGATCTCGAGCCACTAAAGTGGAGAGCCCTTCGATAAACATCGTCCGATTAAAACAAACGACAAAATTAAGGGCCCCACATAACTAAAGGAATTCATTCAATTTATAGAATTGTTTTGGGGAAAAAAACAATACGAAACGACATATTTGAAACACTGATATTTTCTCTATGGTTACTACTTTCATAAATCTAAGTGTTTTCCCTTCATACAGCTGAGAGATAATAATGTGTTCGATCGTTTTGAAGCATCCACATATCTATCCAAAGGTCGTTGAAATTTAGAGTTTTGGTAAACACAAATAGTAGACAGCTGTTGACCGTCTTATCTAGGCATAAAGGCTACCAAACATATAAACACAGGTTGCTGTTAACCTTTATCATAAGAAAATTTTAAGCCTTTTTCTTTGAATGTGGTTTATTATACAACCGAAAGTTTTCTATTTGTAATTTTTTAGTGACAAGTTATAGAATAACAGCAACCCCATAAATAAGGAATTATAGGAATTTTTCATTTCAGGACATATTTTGGTGTCTTGGACCTTGTGTAGTTCACGATGTTTGTCGTAAATTAGCTACAGACTACAGAAGTTGGAGGTCGGGTCTTCCTGATCTTTTATTATGGAGTCCTACAGAAACTCGATCTAAGGTACGAAATCTTTCTATTTCAGTTCAATTTTCTTTTCACATTTAACGAAATTTCCAGTTTTCTTCCCAAGTTTTTGAATAAATTTGTCTGAAACTTCCGTGTTTAGTCCTATCTAGCTCATTATATTATTTGTGTGAATTTATACGTACCGATAATAGTAAATGTTATTTCCTAAGTGATTAATGCAAAGTGATTTTGCAGTCACGTTGAAGACTTTCAAAAGTTTTTACATAGAGTATATACGATGCAAAAGACTATCGGGTAGGCGAAGATTGCTTTCACTATCACTTAAGTGATCGGTTAACCGAGCATGATTATTTATAGATCCTTTGAACACCACAAGTTAAAATATTTTCTATGATTGAAATATTTTACAAGGATACGTATAATTTTTTACAATGGTGTATTAGCAATGAATAAAATTATCTAAATGCAATATTAATTACAGACTATATCTTATAATATAATAGACTATTTGTCGTTCGTGATGATTCATCTTCTAAAAGAATAAAGATAAAATTAATGGAACCTTATGTTCAAGTGAACTCAGAAGTATAATAAATATTAGATCAAATGATAAATAATATTAATGAGAAATAATTAATTGGATCAATAATCATTTAGAATGAAGCATAATAGAACAGAAGAAAGTTAATACAAACCCACTTTAGATTATATTGTACCAATGAAATATTACTTTATATAACCAACTCTGTTAGCTCATATAAATAATCGTGATGAATTCACGTAACTTAATCAAACAATAGAAGACTGTTATTCCCCATTTTTTGCATTTTCCTACTGTTGACAGTTAGGACTGTAATTGGTCTTTCATTGTTGATATATGCATAGTCCCCAATATTGCCTTTTGATTACGAGTTTTTAGTAATATTTCGATTATGTATAGCGGACTAATAATTTGGATGTAACTGCATCTCATTGTTGATGTTTAAACTGAAATTCTGATCCCAGTACTTATCACTTCAAAATATAACTAGTAACCAACTAGACTTCTGAATCCAAATACCTACACTTTGTTCAATAGCTCGTCTTCAGGTAACCTAAACCAATCCACATATGTGCAAGACTGCAAGTGCTGTATGATTGAATGATTGTACGAGCCTGTATTTTATGGTTCTTGATATTCAGGGCTACAATTAATGCAGATAACTGCATATTCGTTAAAAATTCTCATATGTGGATTCGGTAGCCTTGCGGAAAATTCGTTGACATTTGGAGAGCTATTAAGTCTTAGTGTAAACATCAATACTAGGATGCGAGTGTAGATCTAACTGATGAGAGCATAATAAGTCAAACGGTGTTTCTTATATACAATCTTCAAGCAGGATTTTTTCCGATTAACTTCCCAAATATATTATGAGCTATTTCTTTTTTTTTCAAGAGCAAATAACTGTCCATCTGCGTAAGTCAATCATATATTATTGAAATCTTTCTATTCAGTTTAAAAGTCGTCTGCTTTTTCATCACCATTGCATTATTGATTCTGTAGTAATTCAGTTAGTTTATTGTTTATGTTTCAGTTATGAAGATTCTACTTTTATTTAATTTGAGTATTTAAATAATCCGCTTATCACTGTCATAAATTACTATTATTTATCGTATTTCAAATGTAGATTGTAGAAGTTAAAGGACCCGGAGACCATTTATCCACTCAACAAATAATGTGGCTTGATGTACTTGTCCAGGCTGGTGCCGATGTAGAAATCTGTTTAATATCAGGTAAGTTATATTTTTGTCTGATATTTGAAACAGAGACCACCAAGCTACATTACATTTATGTATAAAATACTTAATCATAAATCTATAGTATGGTGTTTCATAGTTCAACAGTTAAGTTTAACAGGGAATTTCGTGTCACCATGTTTGATGCATACCATGAATGGTTCCAGTTTATTCTCAAAACAATTTCACTTTACTGACATTTCAAAGAGGGTAAATGCTTACTGAATATCTCATATTTTCCGCTTTTGTTCTATCTCACCTTATAGCAATTAAATAACACTTTGAATGTCCATAGTTTTGTAATTTTTCCATTTCATCACATCAACACTCTGAAATTTTTGAGGACAATCCTTCTGAATATGTAATTGTTTTTTATACTTATTATTTAAAATACAAATGACTGAATATTAATATTTTACAATGTGTGAAATAGTTGTAAATAGAAGAAATGTGGTTAGCAACGGGATCTAGGACACGCGTTTCTTGCTATTTGGGACTCATCAACTGAACGTACCTGCTTCCCAGAGTTGATGTTCACTCCGGGGTTCAGATTCGAACGCGTCAACCTCCCATCTAAGTGGATCCAGGTGGCCACCTACTTGTGCATGTAAACTTAACTATTCAGTCTCAAATAGCAAGAAACGCGCCTCCTGGATCCCAATGTTAGCCCCATTCCTTTTATTTTATATAAAATTGCGATATAATGGTTATTATCGAGATGCTGATACACACATACCAACCATAACTGATCAAAATTCATATCAAATATTATTGTCTAAAAAACTAACTGAACATCACCAAACGTCATGCAATCGTTTATCCCATAACTGTAAGAATAGTTGAATCTATCATAATCGTCCAAAACCTTGTCGGTAATATTATTTGACTAATTTTTCGTTGTCAGTTGACTCATAATGTAGCACAGTTTTCATCTGATGTCGTTAGTGAGCCACTACATCCATATGTAGTCAGTGAATTTTATCTCCAGAAAATCAGAATTTTCTGTGCTCAGTTCAATTGTATGTAGGCGTTACTGAAGAGCCCCAAACTACAATAAAACAATAGCCGTAGTTCTTTTTCGTCTGTTGTTATATTTTCGCTCTTACGGTTATAACCCAGCTATTCCTATCGCTTAGTATTCACGGTCACAGATTCACTCGACAAGGCCCCAAATCAGAACACGATTGAGCAGGAAGATTATATTCCAAATAACAAGGTTAGGTGAAGCAAGAAGCAAGAAGCGAAATAGGAAAACCGTTAGTATATTTATAGCTTTTTACATAAGAAGAATCTAGAAGCTTCTCCATGTATAGACTAGCGCTGATTGGATAAAAATCAGCCAATCAGCGTGCGCCAAAGCAATCGTGCATTGAGCATGCTTAAATCCAATCTATGTCCCACTAACACCTCCCCTTTGAGCAGATTCGTAGGATCTGGTGCTAGGGTCCAACTGCAACCGAGTGACTGGCCTGTGCTTTCGATTTGTCCATCGTCTAGGCAATAAAGAAGTATCACTCTTTGCTTGCACAGAAACTGACCTGTCTGTTCCAGGCGTTTTGATTTCAAAGGTGTCTAGCAGAACATCAAGAGGTAATCGATATTGAATCTCGTTGCTGGCTATCGAAGTTGCTTTCAATTGGTTAGCATGACGTACCCAAACTTCTGAGCCAACTGACACCTCATAAACCACACTCCCCTTCTTTTTCAAGATCCGACCAGCTGTCCATGTAGGATGTTTCTCACGATAGTCCATAGCAAGTACTTTTTGTCCCACCGTGAACAATCGTTTTTGTGCCCCATGATGTCGATTGAACTGATTCTCCATAGATAGGTTTCGTTGAGGCTCAAGAGCTGGCGTAGGACGGATGACATCGAAATGTGTTCGTATTTTTCTGCCAAGTAGAGCTTCTGCTGGAGAGACCCCCTTAATCGTCTGAGGGTTCGGTGTCGAGCGATAAATAAGCAGGAACCTCTCTAAGATCTCTTCGGTGGTCCCCTCCCCTTTAGATTTTTTTAGAGCATTTTTAAATGTACTCACAAAGCGTTCCACTTGACCATTTGATTGGGGATGGAATGGAGGTGTTCGGACGTGATGGATTCCGTTCTGCCGACAAAATTGTGAGAAAATTACGGACGTAAACTGTGTTCCGTTGTCACTAACTATCAATTCCGGGACTCCGAAACGACTGAATAGTTGACGTAGCTTACTGACTGTGCAGCTTGCAGTCGGGTGTTCCATGAGAAAGATTTCTGGCCACTTGCTATATGCATCAACTACCAAAAGGTAAGTTTGTCCATGAAGTGGACCAGCAAAGTCCAAGTGTATACGCTGCCACGGTGACTGTGGTATTGGCCATGATTGCAGCTCTGCTTTCCGCGGTGCTTTCGTTGCTAATGCACATTTGGTACATGAACGGGATAGCTGCTCCAGTTGAGTGTCTAAATGCGGCCAGTATACATAACTTCGTGCTAATGCTTTCATGCGATTTATTCCAGGATGTCCTGCGTGCAACTGTTCAAGCACTGCTGGTTGTAGCTTCTTTGGGATTATGACACGTTCTGCAAACAGCAGGCAGTCGTCGATGATTGAGAGAGAGAGTCTACGCTGGTAAAACTGTTGAAGCTCTGTGGAACTGATCTTCGTGGGCCATCCTTCCAGGTGGAACTTTCTAACTTCTTGTAGAATCGGGTCTCGAAGAGTTTCTTCTCTGACTTCATCTGACGACACTGGAGTGTTTCGAATGGCATCTGCCACTATACTTCGTATTTCTGGGTCTACTGCTATGGAGGCAATGATTATATCCTCTGGTCCAGGATGCTGAACTCCAATTAATCGAGAGAGAGCGTCGGCTTGACCGATAGTATTTGTCGACTGATACTTGATATTGAAATCATAACTCAGGAGCATTGTTGCCCAGCGCTGTAGTCTATTAGCCGTATAGACAGGGATTCCTTTCTTAGAACCAAAGATTGCAATCAAAGGTTTGTGATCTGTCAGTAGAGTAAATGTACGACCATAGAGCATTTTATGAAATCTTTTGACAGCGAAAATGATCGCAAGAGCTTCCTTTTCAATTTGACTGTAGTTCCGCTCGGCTGGGGTAAGTGATCTAGCAGCATGGGCAATTGTCTTTTCTGATTTGTCCGGAAACACGTGAGATATTACTGCTCCAACTCCATGACTAGATGCATCAGATGCAACAACAATTTCCAAGCTGGGATCGAAGTGTGTCAAAAGAATCTTTGAGCTGAGCATTGATTTGACTCTGTCGAAAGATGCTTGACATTCTGCTGACCACTGCCAAGGTTTATCTTTTGATAGTAATTCATTCAGCGGACCTCTCACTCGATGCATTTCAGGCAAGAATGTGCTATAGTGACTGATTAACCCCAAGAAGGATCTTAATGAAGAGACATCAGTTGGTGCAGGCATCTTCTGAATGGCTTCGATGTTGGCAGGGTCTGGTCGGCGACCGTTCTTATCTAAGATAAAACCAAGGTATTTGATGGAATGCATAAAGAAAGTACACTTTTCCTCACGTAGTTGGAAACCATATTCCAACACTCGGTTAAGGACTTGATGTAGTCGATCAGAAAGTTCATTGTCAGTTGAACCCATAACTATGATATCATCTAGATAAGCTGCTGTACCAGGTATACCTGTTAGCATCGTATCCATTATTTGCTGAAAGATGGCAGGTGCAGTCTTGATGCCAAATGGTAGACGGGTGTATTGAAATAACCCTCGATGAGTGTTAATGGTCAAAAGCTCTCTACTGTCTTCATCTACTTCTACTTGTAGATAGGCATCGGAAAAGTCTATTTTCGCGAAACATGTCCCACCATTAAGTTTGGCAAACAGGTCTTCAGGAACTGGTAATGGATATTGATACACATCTAATGCAGCATTTAAACCGGTCGAGAAATCGGCACATATGCGTATAGTTCCATTCGCCTTCTTAATCACTACGATCGGTGCGGCCCATGCAGAGTAGTTGACTGGTTGAATTACACCAGCCTGTTGCAAGCGATTAAGTTCCTGATCGACTAACTCAAGAGCAGCATATGGTACAGGACGTCTAGGACGAAAAATAGGTTTGGCATCTGGTTTCAGTGGTAAATGAGCTTTCATCTTGGTACAGTGGCCAAGGCTATTCTGAAAAACAGAGGCAAACTTTCTTTTCAGTTTTTCTAGTAACCTTTCACATGTCTTCTTTGCAAGTACTGGGGTGTCTAATGATGAACACAATACGTTGCAGACACTGTTAATCGGTACATCCATTATTCCAAGTTTATCTAACATATCTAGACCAAGAAGATCAAGGTTTGGCCGTTCTGTTAGGTAACATATTCCTGTACAGTTAGTTCCATTGAAGGAAAATTCACACTGTAATTCACCAACCAGTTTTAGCACACCACCTGATGCGTTTTTGGCCGTTTTCTTAGATGGCTTCATTGGCGGTTTACCCAGCAAGTTATACGTTTCTCTAGATACTAAGGTGATATCTGATGCCGTGTCAATTTGAAGACGAGCTGATATGCCGTTTATCTGGATGGTAACATACTTTCTCCGAATGTCATAGTTTGTTTGAAAGGCAGCTACCAGAGAAAGAGATTTAAACTCGGCTGATTTCACATGTCGAGAACGTTTATGCTTCTTTTTGGGATGAGACGTACGATTCGGTGGACAATGACCTTCTTTATGTCCACGTTTGCTGCACACCTGACATCTATGCTTTTTAAATGGACAGAATCGTACATAATGCCAATCACCACATAACCAGCATGCAGTCGTTGGTTTATTACGAGTTGTTATCGGCTTCTTAACTTTTAACCTAGTAATAGCATTGACACTACTGCAGGTTAAATTAGGATTTACCTGTTCAATCAACTTGTTGTCGTGTCTGATGCTTTGTAGCCGCTTACACTCATCTGTTAACGTTCTGAGTGTGACGTTTGGGTCTTGATCTAGTCGAGCCAAAAGTCTAGTCCTGATCTCAGCATCTTGTGGTGACTGAAGAGCTTTGATGAATATTAGGCATTTAAATTGGTCTTCTGTCAACGAGCGTAACTTGAACCGTTCACATTCTCTGTTGACGATGTCTGCTAAAACACCATATTCATCGGCTTCGCGTTTCACCAAATTTAGACACTGATGTCGAATACTAAACAATGAGGAGGATTCACCGAATATCTCTGACAATTGAATTATCGTCTCCTCGAAACTGAGCTCTCGAGGTAACTTAGGCAATATATGGTCAGCATAGCGTGCATGTTCATTAATTCCTAACTTACGTACCAACAGTCGAGTCTTCCACGCGTCGTCTTGGTTACAGAATTCTATTCTAAATGTATCTTCCCAACGTTTGAACCACGTGAGAAAAGTATTTCCGCTTTCGGGATCATAGATGAATTCTGGTATGCTGCTAGCAACTGCATCACAAGACGTACTTGAAATGGCATGTGAACTCGAGCAGTGGAAGCTAAGCTGTTGAGTCAGAGTCTCTAACAACCGCATTTGTGCATCTAATTGTTGTTGCTGTTGTTGTAGTATTCGGTTAAGCTGGTCGTCTGATATGGACATATTGAATTTATTTTCCTTTTTCCTCGTCGCCACTGTTATATTTTCGCTCTTACGGTTATAACCCAGCTATTCCTATCGCTTAGTATTCACGGTCACAGATTCACTCGACAAGGCCCCAAATCAGAACACGATTGAGCAGGAAGATTATATTCCAAATAACAAGGTTAGGTGAAGCAAGAAGCAAGAAGCGAAATAGGAAAACCGTTAGTATATTTATAGCTTTTTACATAAGAAGAATCTAGAAGCTTCTCCATGTATAGACTAGCGCTGATTGGATAAAAATCAGCCAATCAGCGTGCGCCAAAGCAATCGTGCATTGAGCATGCTTAAATCCAATCTATGTCCCACTAACATCTGTCGTTGGCTTTGTATCTTACATAATTACTTACGCCTGTTACTCCCAATGGAGCATAGGCCGCCGACCAGCATTCTCCAACCTACTCTGTTCTGGGACTTCCTTTCCAGTTCTATCCAATTTTTGTTCATTCTCCTCATGTCTGTCTCCGTTTCTCGGCGTAATTTGTTCTTTAGTCTTCCTCTTTCCTTTGGCCCTGAAAATTCCATGTGAGGGCTTGCCTTGTGACGCAGTTGGGTTCTTTCCTCATTGTGTCCTATCTACTTCCAGAGCTTCTTCCTGATTTCTTCCTCCGCTGGAATCTGGTTTGTTCTTTCCCACAGTAGGTTGTTGCTGACAGTGTCTGGCCAACGGATCCGAAATATTTTGCTTATAAAACTGTTAGTAAACACCAGTATCTTCTGAATGATGCCTTTCGTAGTTCTCCAAGTTTCCGCCCTATACAATAGAACTGCCTTGACATTTGTATTGAAAATTCTGACCTTGTTGTTGGTTGACAGTTGCTTTAAGTTCCAGATGTTTTTCGGTTGTAAATATGCTTCTCTTGCATTTGCCGATTCGCGCCTTCACATCTGCATCAGATCCACCGTGTTCATCAATGATGCTGCCCAAATATGTAAAGCTTCTCGGTCAAGGGTGATTCGATTGATGCACGTTGTGTTTTATGGGAGAATCCTGCTTTTCTCTTTGTGTATATTGAGACCTACTGCTACTACACTGGTTTGTCTTGTCTGACATTTGTTGTTGAGTGTGTGACAGAAGAGCCATATCATCTGCGAAGTCTAAGTCATCCAGCTGCATCCTAGCTGTCCACTGTATCCCGATGCTTCCCCCCAGATGTTGACGTTTTCATGATCCAGTCGATCACCAGGAGAAAGAGGAATGATGAAAGGAAGCAACCTTGCCTGACACAAGTCTTTAATTCGAACGAGTCTGTGAGCTGTCCTCCATGCACGATTTTCCAGTTGAATCCATTATGAGAATTCCGTATGATGTTGCCCATCTTCTCAGGCACGCCGTAGTGTCAAAGAAGCCTCCATAGTGTTATCCTGTCCACGCTATCAAATGCCTTCTCGTAGTCAATGAAGTTGATGTAGAGTGGCAAGTTCCATTCCATTGATTGTTCCACGATAATCTACGGATTACTGTTGCGATTTGGTCTGTACACGATCGATCTTTACGGAATCTAGCCTGTTGGTCTCGAAGTTGGGCATCTACAGAGTCCTTCATTCTGTTTAACAATACCCTGTTGAAGACTTTTTCCGGTATTGAGAGAAGAGTGATGCCTCTGTAGTTCTCACACTGGCTGAGATCGCCTTTCTTTGGTATCTTGATCAGGTGTCCTTCTTTCCAGTCTGTTGGTACTTGTCCTTCAACCCAAATCTTGCTGAAGAGAATGTGGTGTACTTTGCAGGTACTGCTACATCTGCTTTTAGTGCCTCTGCTGGAATGTTTTCTGGTCCCACTGCTTTACCGCTCTTGATTTGTCTGATGGCCATGCTGATCTCTTCTATTGTTGGTAGGCCAACATCCATTGAGAGGTCCGTATGCACATTTCGATGTTGGGTGGGTTTGGTGGGGCCAGTCAATTCAATAGTTCTTTGAAGTGCTCTACCCACCCACCTGTTTCGCTGTTCTTCAATGTTTGTGATTAATTTGTCTTCCTTGTTTTTCATTTGTCGTTCTGGTTTACGATAATTTCCAGTGAGTTTCTTTGTTGTATCATACAATTGTCAGATGTTTCCTTCTCTTGCAGCCTTTTTTGCCATCATTGCTAGATCTTCCACATATTTACGTTTGTCGGTTTTCATGCTCCTCTTCACTTTCTTATTTACTTTTGTGTATTCGGCTTGCACCTTGGCTTTATCTGCTTTTGTTCGGCTGGTATTGATTCCTGCCTTCTTATTCCTCCTTTCTTGGATCATATCCATTGTATCAACAGTGATCCATTCCTTGTGATGGTGCTTCTTGTGGTCCAGAACCTGATGACATGTGGAAGTGATTGCCTCCTTGAACCTTTTTCAGTTGTTCTCCTTAGTAGTTCCCTCTCTATTGAGTAGATCGTGAAAGGCCTGGAACCTATTGCTGAGGGTTATCTTGAATTTGCTTAGTCTGTCAGTATTCTGAAGGAAAGCCGTATTGAACTTTTGTGATGTTGTCCGCCCCGTTTTCCAATGCTTCCTAAGTTTTGATTTTATCTTGGCGACCAATAAGTGATGATCTGATGCTATACCAGCTCCTCTCTCGGTTATCACATCCTCCATCGTCCTCCTGAACTTTTTGTTGATGCAGATATGGTCGATTTGTTTTTGTGTAGTGTGATCCGGTGAATGATTTTGTATCTACCAGTCTAAAATCAGAAATTATTCTTACATTGAACCAATCCCTTTAAAAACTATTGAATTCTAAATAGTAGGTATAAGTGTGGTGTGGATTACTTATATCCGTATAAGTAGTACATAACAATGGTCAGGCATAGAATGTATATCAGCAGAAGATCGATAGGGAAAGTAAGAAGACGGAACGCGATTGGTATGAAAATGCATGAACAATGAAATCTGAGACAATAGACTGATATTTGCAAAAGGAACAGTGAATTTTAAGACGATGGATTGATATTTTGCAAATTAGCGATTTACTATATGAGTTCTCGGATTTTAGTTAGATGCTCTGTAATTGCGCGTCAAATACATCCGATTGTCCCCACTCGTGTTCTTGTTCACTACATAAGCATTGTTTAAATATTTCCACTTCGTGTTTACAAACATTAATTTATAAATGATCACATCCCTATTATTAACACAATATTTGTTTCAATGAATTTAATTGGATATACTTCGTATATGTAAATGTTTAGTTTTTTTTAGCTGAACCACTAAAATCGCTTCGTTCAAAATCCAACCATTGAAATGGAACAAAATAACAAGATCTAATTAATTTATTATTAGAAGTAATAAGAAAAAAAACCGACAAGAGTATACCGTTGAATTAAATTTTATATCATTTTCAGATCTGTTTACATTATGATTCTCCTGTATTTTCGAATCTTAATAATAAATACTTTAAAAGTGTAAAATTGTCTTTTTTTCTCTCCTGAATAGTTTTTAATTTAGTCAATGAAAATGTTTTTTTTATTACAGTTTCACTGATTGTCTTTTTGAAAATAAATTCTAATTTAAATGGATTTATTAGAAAAATTCTATAAAATTAAATGATTAACTGTGAAACAGACAAATATTAAATCGAACCATCTTTTTTTTATGAATAATATTATCATTGAGATCTGTCGTTAGAAACTTATTAGTTGTTGCATAATTATAGTCAGTATAAGGTATGAAATTAGAATAATCCTTATTATACATTAAAATTGTGCATTTATTGTTGAGTATAAGTTAAATATTTTGAAAAGAATTAATCATTGATAAACCTAAACAGATATAGACCCTATACTATGTGATTATTGTAACTAATTAACTTACGTCATAAAAAGATATCTAACCCTTCAGATATGAATCAGTAACGTGATATTCCCCTCCCCAGTAATTGAAGGTTGATATTTCTCATTACCTAACCTAGCTTTTCTCTAATTAATTGAAACGCTTAATTAATTTATATGGATATCATTAGATGGTGGTTGGAGGTGGTCGACAGGAAACCCTGGACCCGGGTTTCGTGCTACTTGGCACTCGTCAGCAAGTTGTACCTGTAATCTTTGAGGGAACTGGTGCTCCCTGGCGGATTCGATCCCGTGTCACCCAGCTTCACAGTCAGAGACGTTACCACTGAGCTATCCGGGCTGCGACCGACCTTCTGTAGGACTGACGAGTGCCAAGTAGCACGAAACCCGGGTCCACGGTTTCCTGTCGACCACCTCCAACCACCATCTAACCTTACAATAGTGCCCGCGGTGTCGAGCCACCTAGACTGGTGGCCACATTGCAACATGATCGATAGCATTCGATCTGCACTAATAATAAGGACTAGACACGCATGACATTGGTCACCCAGTGATCAATCAATTGTGATTTGGATATCATTCACACGAATCTGCTTTTTTTGTAGAAACCTATTTAAACAGGTTTCAATAGTAATCATTTGGTTTTCCTTTACTTGACTCGTTTCATAGGACATATATGAACGTTGTATTGAATTATCAATTCTATGGGACACACATGATTTCTTTTTCATTAGGTTATGCACCAAATTATTCTCAGCTACACTCATCTGTTTAAGAAAAACTGCAAACGAAAGATTATGGGTCTATATAGCGTTAGTTGAATTTTAGTCTCTTTTTGTATACACTACATGATTAGCTAGTAACTAATGAAGTCCAGTTAAACGCTTATTGTTATAGACAACTTATTTAGTTTACATTAGTTATCCATAATCCAGTTGTACTTTATTTATTTAGATAGCATGACACACAAACGCTGGGATATCAGTAATTTTTTTCATGATTGACGTGCTAATTTGAAGTGGAAATATAACATACTGTCGCAAGGCCATAAGTTGAGATACATATGTGACCGGTCTTCTATAAATAAACCATCTAAATGTTCTTGGTAAACTATAAATACAAAATTCCTTATGTTCTAGTCATCTCCCCTCGTCGACCAATTGACTGAATAGTAACGTAAGACACTGGAGTGATCGTTTGCCACTGAAAGATATTTCTTTCTGAAGTCTACTATCTAATGAACGATAGACAAGGCAAGGCTTAGGTTGACAGGGATTAGGTATCTGTATGAACTTGTTTATGATAAGACACGAGACTGTATCAAAATATTTGGTGCAACTAGACACCTGGTACTACGTTTTGTTGAGTCGCAAAATTTATGTTGGTTTACTTTAACAAATTTCACCAAGTAGACTGGCATTCGATGCACTAGTAAATATTACCTGAATTTTTCAATAACTAACGATTAGACTGGCCTCTTTCTACTTGCATACCCAGACAACAGAAGAAATTAACATATAGAAAACTAGTTCTCATACCGTTGGAAATGTACTGAAATCACACACACATTGATACAATGAGGCACCAAATATATATGCGCCAAACTCCTTTTGATTTGTGCGATGGCTGGTATAGTGCCCAGGCGCCTAAAACTGAAGCAGGTGGGGGGGACACTACCCGAGCTTTTGACCCAGAGGTCTAAACCACAACTTAGAAGAGTAACGTTAGGAAATGCAGCTCCATGATGGCCTGTGACCAATAATAGGTTCATACGCCACTTGTTCTCTTAGGATCCTGGGACCGATGTGCATCTATTTGGAATCAGGGCTTTCCAGCTTCCCTAGGTGGATCCTCCATGCCCACCAACCCAGCTAAAGCGTTGGACATTCGCTTTTCGTCCTCGATTTCGTAGAAAACACCCCCCGCGAGGAAGTGAGTGAAACTTTTCTGGCGGTGACACTACAACCAGGATGTTTTATCGCAGTCACGTTAAGCTTTTTCTCTCAGTAGTGATTTGTAAGATGAATTACTGGTCACAAGTATCGAACCATGTACCAGAATAATTAAAACTTACCATTATCTGGATGAGAGTCCTAGAGGTTGCGCAACTTCTGTTATTTGATAGCGCCCAAAGTCCAAGTAGTTACTTTAAATGTCGCAACATAGTGACATTGTTGTGATTAGATCTTATGCAAATGTGTTACGAAGGAGGGTCTGGGAATGACCAAGCTTAAGACTGGTAGAATGCTGACCGACGAATGATGTGCAATGAAGCGATGCGCCTGACTGTTCACAAGATCGACCCATTAACATAAGCTTTTTTGAACGAACCGATAACAAATGACAGCTAGTCAAAAAATGAAATACTCCCCTTAGTGAAAAAAACATACTCGGGTAGGATGCAGGTTACTGACTGACTAATAAATTAAGAGCTAACTGATAAGCTTAATTCATCGCTGTTACAATATTTTTCAGCCTACTTTCCATATCGCAAAAATATTGCTTATGTTCTTTTAAAAAGTTTCCTCTCGATCATCTTTTTATATATGTACGGGATGTAAATGAATGACTTTCTTAATTTTCCGTTACAGGATTTGTAATAAAATATCTCTAAGTAAATGAGGTAAATTTTCTATTTGTTGATCTGGATATTAGTTATAAACAAATGACTCTTGTCTATTGTGCAGCCAAGCTAATAAGACCTAAATTTGATGCTAACCATTAACATGTTAGATATCTTGTAAGCCCCACTTCTAACAATAACTGAGTATTAACTATTCACTACATATTTCCAAAAAACAACTAACAGTTAGTTTGTTTTGAACCAGCTTTACTTTCACATATTATTTTACCTTAAATCTAACAATCACCAAATGAATATAACAAAGTGCAACCAAACGAATATTCAAGAGGTTTTACTTGAAAAGCAGAAGAAATATGGATCGGTATTCCCTTTATTTTTCTAACATGTGTGAACGTTTCCTAGTTTTTGTTAGTTGTTTCTTTTCATGTGTGAAATTCATAGAGCAAAAAATTTAGTGCAATTACAGATTTTGAAAGCTAAATAAATAAAGCAAAAACACCCGAACCTACATTTAAGATGGAGTGTTAAGGAAAAAGAAAAGGAAGAATATCCCAAGGAGACAGAGAGTAGGAGAGTAAAATTTTTGTTCCTACACACTACTAAATTGTTTTCGATTAACATTATACTGAGCTTTATAATTCCGAAAAAAACATGATTATATAAAAGATACCATGAGCGAGAATGTACAAGAAAAGTAAATCGTACAGATTTCGTTAACAGTACAGAACTATAGTATGCACAAATCTCAATGTACAAATCATATATCAATTCAAGCAGTTATAGCACACCTACTCTTTAATTACACAATACCGATGTAAAAAAATAGTTGTTCAATTTTTATTGAAGAAATAGCAAAGCATGGGAAAAAAACAGTAAAAGAGATGGTTATTGAGAAGGAAAAAACTTTGCATAAAAAACAATGTTTAATTGCCTATTCTCACATAAAATCATCATACTCGTCTGGGAGAGCATCATCATCAACACCATACTGATAATCATTTTCTCTTTCTACTAATAATTTACCTTTCGTTTTCTTCTTTGTTTTGCTCTAGAATGGCAAGTAGAAAAGACAACTAAATTAAATAAAAATATATAATTACACATGTAAAGATAAAAGTTTACTACTTACACATAAGTCCAAAATATGAGTGCTATGTCTGTTTGTTTTTTTCCTCAATATATAGCACTACAAAGAATATAAATATATTCCTAAACCTGTGAGTATAGGTTGTATTAAACCTATACATAATATAGGTAATAAACTAAACATATGATGATGTACCTACAAAATAGATCGAGTGGATTTCGAATATTTTATTTCATGTTAAACTACCATGTCATAAATGTATAGTGAAATGCTATACTATTCATACAAACAAATCGATGATTAGGTGTGTACAATGATTCTAATCGAAAGAGGGTAAAGAATATATTTTTGCGAACCCGACTGTTGATGCTACCTTGACGTGGTGGTCGGGCTTGCCTATCGTGATGAACCAATCGAGCTATACTGGCTGGAACAACCGTTCCTCAAGGTCCTACCATGTCAGACAGGTCGGTTGAAGAGCAGTAAGACTAAAAGCAGCAAACCCAAGGTCCGAGGGTGAAGTCGTACTGCTGACTGTACAGCGGTGTGACGGCAGTAAGATTTCTTCAGGAAACAAGCATAACAGCGATGCTGCCTTCCCACAAGGAGGGGTGGGTTAGAAAAGTTAAACCCTAAAAACGCACACCTCAGCTTATCCCACGGGCTTCCACCTCCGGCGGCAAGTGTCCGAGAAGTACGGAGCTAACATGGAAGTTACTCACAACAAGGTCGTGTGTGACCGACCTCAAGCAGTTTCCCCTTGGGCACTGCGGTCACGCTCTCAGGGGACTAAGACCACCTCTAACCCAATTTCCCTTTTAGATACCTCCAGAAGAACCCTTCCACGGAGTGGGCAACCGGGAAGTGATAACTTCCCTCATACATTGAACAGCATTCAAGATCACTGTATTCATATTCGATCCCCCCCTCATTTTTGCGAAACT